ACTTTGCATAATAAGGTTATACACTTCTCACCAGAGTGTAGGAAGGATTTTGCTGGCAGTATAGTTAGCTTTACCAGGAATAGTGAGGTGTGGACACCTTCATTTATTCACATATTATATCCCAGTCAAACCAAGATAGTGATTTTTGGTTTTGTTTCTGTTTTTGTTTTTTCCCCTGCTTGCACCAAGGTTTGCTCAGCAACAAACAGGTGGGATCTGATCTCAACTGGAAACCTACTAGAGTTAACAGTAATGTCATAGATATTAATTTGCAGGAGATTTCCTTCAGACACACGCACTTTTTATATGTTTTTCTAATTACGAATTTTGTTTTTATTAAAAAATAGCTAGAAGGAAAAGCACAGTTGAATGGAATTAGACACACTGTCTCAATTATGTCTCCGTGGATTTGCATTGGTTTCAAGATTTTATAGAATGCCTGAGTCATGACATGGCACTGCATGGTAGATTAGTTTGGTCCCAGAGAATGGCCAAGGTATTTCCAGCTATGCAGATAGGCTGGACAGAATATACCTCTGTCACATCTCACCTCAAAAGGTAGAGTTTCATCTACTACAGACATGCAGACACTTGTTTTTACCTTCCTTCAGTCTTTGTGCTCACCTGGAGACAGGGCACTTATGAGACTATCCACTGAGGGGATTAAGTAGCCTTGAAAATAGTACAGCAGCAGTTCTGGGAGCACTGAAGCTGAGTAGCTGCCTGGCCAAAAGCCTTGTGTCAGAAAACAATTTAAATGAAAGGTAGATGGAAAAGGATGTAATAAACAAACTGGAAAAATACAAGGTAATAGGGAAAACATGGGATAAAGTGATACTTAACTGTTTGAAGACTTAAAGAATGACTGAAGAGTGAAAAAATGACACCTTTGTAGATCCTACTGATCGATTCTTTACCAAAGGACCTGCTATACAATTATTTGGGGAACCTGATAGATGAGTTGTATGTGTAATTATAAATAAACTGACCAATGCATAAAAATACTCAGGAGGACATTTATTCATTAAAAGTCCTTGGAAAAAACACATAGATAGAATATTTTTTGTAAGGAATATTTATTTTCAGTTCCATTTAAACAACCCACTTTTGTAACACATACTAAAATCCTTAGGAAACATTCTACGAAATTTCAGGATTATAACCACAGGAATGAATTAAGTGTATTTCAGGTCTGGAGATTAAAATACAGAATATGTTTGCATCATTCTGCATTTTATTATGTTGCTGCCTTTTGGTATGCTTTACATTAAAAATACATGACTGACACTCTTTATACCAGTAAGCCTTTTTTATTGAAAAAAAATATTATTGCATTAAACTACATTCCCAGGGATTCCTTGAATAAGCTAAAACAAAAGTCCCATTGCATGTACAATAGTGCAATTCACTTAGCTACTGTATAATATAAAACACTTTATACAGAGAATACAAAACAAAATTACTAGTTTACATATTATACTATCCAGTTTTAAATATAAACTTGACATTTTAAAATCAATCTGATCAAATGGCATTTTTTATGCAAATCTGCACAATAAATATACATGTTGGATGTATCCCAGAAATGCATCAGATACAAAAAAAAAAAAAAGAAAAAACCCCAAACAACAAGAAGAAAAAAGTTTATCATGGTGTGACTCTGGAAATTTTTTTAATGGAATTTTAAGGTGTGGGTGACCTCTTTCCTTAGATTATGTATCAAGAATATACAAACAAGCTAAAATAGATTATTAACTTGGTGTGTATATATCACTGCCATAAGGATACTGTAAGTCTTTTAAAAAATCTCTTTAAATAAAATCAAAATTGCAGCACGGCTCCATACATCAGGCTCAATAATACTTTTAATAATTATAATGATACATATTTAAAGTACTTTACTGATGAAAAAAATATGGCAGCAATTAGAGAAAATATATAATTTCAGCTGTGCTGATAGCTTTATTACATTTCTCCAAGAAAATCCCTCCTGTGCACTAAGAATGGTATTGGACATTGCCTGTGTTTGGTAATCAGTGATTGCTGTTTTCTGTTGTGCTCTTTCTGTTCTTGATCTCTCTTTTTCTCCCCATTAATACATCTCAAAATTCTCATTCCCATTGTTCCAGGAATTAAAATTAATCTTCATTGTCAATTTATTTGCCCTACCGTGTTGGTATGTAAAATGATGCATGGGAATCCTATGGTTTCATTTATTCTAGAGTCCCATTGTATGGTGCATACAGTAAGGGAAACAAATACATCTATTTTCCGTAAATGATCTATGTAGTAGGATATGGTTAAGTTTGATTTGGTCAGGTTTCTTGCCACAGAAATTTCTATAGTATTAACATTGTCTGGTAGAAATGGGAAAACAAAATATGTGTACATACAATAAAAATGAGATTAGCCCATCATTCCTTCAGTTCCATATTTTTCTTTTGGTGTTACCTACCTAGGGTACAAATGAACTTTTGCACACAGTGAGAACAGCTGGGTTTACTTCAACAGAGATGCAACTGGGCCCATAAATTTAAAAGCTTGTGGGGCTGGAAATGCACCTTTTATGCTGGTATTATCCCTGGACTGTGGGTGATGGCCACGCAGCCCAGTCAGCCCCTCCTGGGGCACAGCTTGCCCTGCTACTTTAGATGTCCAATTCAGAATGTTTCTACAAAGTTATGATAATGTGTCCAAGTGGTCCACTGAGTGAGTGATCTCCATCCAAGCACGTAATAATTTTCAGAAATGTTAAGTCAGAGTAAGTGAAATACGTTTGATTCTCAGAAAATAAAGTATCGGAAGTACAGAAATTATATGTAAATTTAGATCATATCTTGGGAAAATTTTCAGCCATTGAAATTGAAAGGAAGAATTGTTAAACTCTGGAAACTTTTCATTCTACAATTTCCCCAAATAAAAAAATTTACTTCCTTAATACTGAAGCAATAATTTTAATTAAAGAATTACTCTACAAATTAAATTAGAAAAATAAATATAATTTATATGCCACTTACACACAGATAAGTAACACCAAAATGACATGAATCTGTTTTGTTAATGAGATTAAAAAATAATCTGGAAATCAAACCAAAATATGTTTGTGGGTGCTGGTGCCACCAACCTTTTTCAACATAAAAATGTTTTGCTTCTGCATAGTCTCCACAATTTTTTCCTGATTTTTATTTTCAATAGCTAAACCATCAAATGTTTAAAGCTACATTGAAAATACAAAACTAGTAGTCACAACTTTTAAAGTAACTTGAAAAGTTTGGCATATTACCAGTTTATGATGAAGAAGCTCCAGAAAGACAGAAATTAAAACAATTACATTTTATTGCAATGGATTGATGTATTTTGATTAAAACTAAGAAAATTGGTTCTGTTCTATTTTAAAGACATTACTTATTTGCAATTAGATTTTTAAGTTTCTTCAGGTAGCTGAATATAATGGAATAAAATTCCTCCCAAAGTTTTTCACTTTGTTTTATATTCATTCTGAAAGATACATTTTGTGCACTACCTTATTGCAAATGAATTGAAATTATTTCAAATGCTTTTAATCCAAACAAACAGGTACTCTGTGTTGGTTACTTCATGGTCCAATTTTTTTGGGGAAGCATGCCTGCAGTCTAACCATAATTATGAACTAATTTCATGCTAAATATCTTGTGTTCAGTTAGAAGCATTATAAAAAATGTCAAACTATGGCATTCAAAGAGATGCTGAAGCCTTCACCTATTTCCAGATACAAGTTGTTACAAAAAATTTCAGCCACACATTACTCTGAAGGTTGGATACATGCATTCATACATTGTGGATTCATAATTTCAATTTACTTGTTGAGAGTTTGGGAAGACATGCGAGAATCTTGACATATTTGTTTAGATTCAATAAACTTTTAAATGCTGAGTACTTGAACAAGTTTTTCTCCGAGTCTCAACCTGTAGAGCCAGCTTTTGATCAGAATTTTACTTCTACATCTTTATGAATATCTGCATGATTTTATAGGACCGGCCAATTTTTTCTGTTGTTTGTGAAAGGGATCAAATATATTTACATATTCATTGGGAAAGACTCTTCCACACATCAGAGCTCTGTTTGCTGGGAAAAAGGCATTGCAGTTTGGCCAAGTACCTCTGAGGTTCAAAGCCAGCACTGGCAGCTTGGCAGCTGTGGGCTGGTGCGGCTCACTCTGACATGCCCTGTGACGCAGCCATGCAGAGGCAGTGCCACAGAACTCGGCTTCTCAGTGAGCCTTCTTGGATGCTTGGCTCAGGGAGAAAAGAGGCAGCCTGCTTCTGCCAGCACAGAGCTCCCGGTGCTAAGGGAGTGCTTTGCTATGTACCCCTGGCCTGACTGCAGTCCCTTTACACTCTCCAAGCAACATAGGCAGGGATGAAATCACTGAAGTATCTTCAAGATGTTGTTGTGATCCTCATTGTCTAGTGTTAACTCATCACCCCTCCCTCTGAGCCTCCCCAGTTTACTTTGGCCAGGAGACAGCCCTGGGGTCTGCTGATCCCAGATAGCTTAATTTTTCCTCGGTCTAAAATACCTTAACCAAACCAGGCACTGTTTCATATACAAACCCAGAAAATCAAATCTTTGAAGTGTGTCAAGTTTGCTCAACCTTAAATTGTGCTACTTTGGATCCCTCATCAGTGTCAATATTGATCCCATTTTGTCTGGGTGCTGTGGTCCCTTTCCTACTGACAGTCATAGGCTTCACTTCAAGCTATTCTTTTACAACATTCTGTAGAATGACACTGGCCACCCATCCTTCTTTGTGACAGTATCACAAAATGCTTTAAAGCTGCTTTTCCTCAGTGATACAAGAATTAAATCAACATTCATATGCTGTCAGCCAGATTGTGGACTTTAAAATCTTTGCTGTTGTGCTCTAAGCAAAACAGTAGATTTCCCCTCAGATGTGATTGAATGTTGAATGCTTTATTTTATTTTAATTCGGGGTTGGAGCCATGATGAAATCATTTGGGCTAGTTTAAGTAGCTAGAAACACTGAAAACTTCTTTTGCTGTAGGTAACTGTTGGGTCTGGATAGAACAAGAATAGTGATGAGGCTCTTGTCCTTGGAATAAGGGATGCACTAAGTGATTTGGGTGTATAGCAGAAGGTGTGACTGTGTTCAGGTGTGGTGTAAATAAGGCTGGGATATATGCAGCGTGTGGCAGTGCAGGGAAGGTCAGTGGGGAAGGGTGGAGGGGAGTGGCAGAAACCAAGTGCAGTGGGTGTCCTGTCAGGAAAGCAGGGTGGGTGGGAATAAGGGCCGGCGCTAATGGGGAAAGTGATATGGGGGCAAAATGTGCCTGAGAGAGGGGGTGGAGGGGTGCCAGGGAGAGATGGCTGCCGTGGGAGTGCACAGATGCTGAGACAGCAAAGCGTTGCAGCAGTGTGTGGTGGATGGTGGTGACAGTAGCCTGCTGCTGAACAGGGAGGGCAGGAACTGCTGGTGTTGCAGAGAAGGCAGCTGGTCCTGGGGCAGGCAAAACTTTCAGATGTTTTGCCAGAAGTTGTTTCTGGATGTGCTGCTGGGCTTGCAGCTGCAGCAACCTGTATTTGTCTACTTCTTCTGGTGTAAATGTGATAGGCTGCTGTGTTAAAGGAGGGGAGGTGGGTTTACTGTACACTTCTAGGTCATTTAGTGTATCACCATACCTCTGCATAGCACTGTCACAAAAAGAGTCTGAACTGCCTTCTGCCCGGTTCAAGTCCATGTTTACATCATGTAGTTCTTCTTTGGTCTCTGTTGAATTAGCAACAGAATATCTATTAGAGGGAAAAGCACCAGGGAAATCATTTGGTACTGGATCACAGCTTTGTATAAAGGGCTGCACTTCACTAATGAAGAGATTGGTTTGTTCCTTTATTGCTGTGTTCCTTTTTATGCTTGGATTCTGATAGCCTGTTTCAATTTGAATTATGTCTTTAAGAACACAATGATCATAATCAGTTCCAGGTGAAAGAGTAACATTTGTTATCTCTGATGCTTCAGTGTTGTTTTTCTTCACACTGTTTTTCAACAAACTGATTTCATTATGTCTCATATCATTTTTACCTTTGCTTAGCACTTTCTCTGGCAAAGGTAACATTGCAGTGTCATCTACTGATGATGAAAACTGAAGAGCAAAGTGACTTTGTGAGTGATCCTTTAATTCTATCCCAGTACTGATTGAAAATCTCTCTGGATCATACATTTGTTCCTGGGTTTTCTTAGACTGCACTCTTTCTAAAAGTAACTTGGCTGTCATTGACTTTCTTTTTCCACATATGTCTTTTGCCAGGTTTTTGGAAGAGCAGGTGGCAACGTTTTTAGACTGACTGTTCACATTCAGAGAGTTGGAATGTGCAGTTTCAGCTTTTCCTGGTTCAGCATTAGAACCTCTCTCAGCATCCTCTTTTGTTTTGTTGTCACAGTTGTCAGTCTCTTTTGACACGGATCCTGAACTGCTGCATCTTGATATTCTGCTGCTAGATGATCTTTCACTGCTTCTTGAATCACTAGTGGAACCACTTTTGGATTTGTGGCAGCTTCTACTCCTGCTAAACCCTTTGCCAAGATGCTGATGTCTACATCTGCCGTGTTTAGACCTGTCTCTGCTTTGTAAAAGTTTATGTCTTGAACATCTTCGATATTTAATTGTGCTACTCTGAATACAGCTTCTAGTTCTGTGACTTCTACTATGACAAAGATAATTCTCGTCTGTATCATCTGAAGTGAAAATACACTTGTGCTTTCTGTGTTTGTTTCTTTCATCTGTCTTGCTTTGTCTTTTACAACAACAAAGCAAATTATTTCTTCTGTGATTGTTTGATGTGGGATTCATGTAGCTCATGTAGCTACTCGTACTGCTAACTGAAGTGTCAGAATAGCTGGAATGTCTGCCAGATGAGGACTTTTGAGGAGATGGGAATCTCCAACATCTTGTGTAACTTCCGCATCCTTCATTATCTGAATACCTGCTGTTTGAACTGGATTTACAGCTAAAAAAACTTCCACTAGAATCTTTTCCACTGTCACTTATGTCACTGCTGCAGCTGACCATGTCTTGAAGGGATCTGGAATAATTTTTGTTCTCATATTTTTCTTCAGAATAAATTAAATGACATTTTTCAGAGTTAGAGTTTTTAATCCTAGACATAAAAGCAGAAAAGGAAATGCTTTCGTTTCTAATGTTCTGAGTTTTTCTTTCACAGTCATGGAAATGATGTTTTAAAGGTCTCCTCAGTGATTTTGTATAAAGACGTTTTTCTGTCACATAATCCTTTTGTGAGACATCAAGGTAAGCAGGCACTTTGGGTATATTTTCATTCAAATTGTCTGCAATACATTTCTGACCATTTTTATTCATTTCTTTCCCTATGTCTGACTCAGCTTTTTGCTTGGCCTTTCTTGGATTTAGGGAACCTTTCGTCTTCTTTGGTTTCAACAGCTGATTATCTTGTTCATTTGACATTTGCTTGTGTTTTATTAAACCTGAGGGTTCATATTCATCTGCAGTCTTATTTTTAGAGAGCTCTTTACAGCTTGCTTTGTTTATTTCATTCTGTTTACCCTCCCTGTGATTTAAAGAGAGTCTGAAGTCAAAATACAGTGGATTACAGCCATATGAAATACAGGGCTCAGTTTTTGTAAACAAAAGTAATTCTGTGGGCCACTGCAGAGCAGTGGTGCCATCTTTGCTCACTACATGGAGGAAAGGCAATGCCTGGGGCCTAACTTCTTTAACCATGGTCTCCTTTTCAAGTGTTTCCATATTTCCATCTGTGGTTTCGGTAATCTCCAAAGATCTTTCTCTTTTTATCACTCCAGGACTCTCATTAATGTTGCTTGAACAGGTCAGCTCAGGTGCTGGCTGTCGTGGGAGCTCAGATAACTGGGCAGGCAGGTGGGCATTACTGGGCTTGTAGGTGTTCAGCTGTGTACAAAAATTGCTAGCTTGGCATGAAGATGAGATGGGAGTTTCTAAGAATTGCTCAGATTCATTCAGTTTGCTCTGTTTCTCTGTTTCTCTCAGGGAAGCAGAAAAATTTGGAAGTGGTATTTTGACTTTAGAAAATGAAGGATTATCTCTGAATTTTTCTTCTGATTCCTTATCATTACTTTTTTCATTTTCCTTTAGCATTTTAGGTTTTGTAGCTACATGACTTGATGCACTGTTATCCAAATCCATTTGGTCTTGTGTAATAAATGGCTCTTTATCCAAACTTGCTTTCTGTTGTTCCTCCAAAAGTGTGACAGAATGACAGCCCTCAATAGTTTGCTTTTTTTTATGGTTGGGGGACTCACTATAATCATTTCCTTCTTCACAGTTTTCACTGAAGACGGATGCTGATGACTCAAGCTTCAAAGGGACCTTTTTAGAGAATGAAAAAGACACTCCTGCCCTTTGAGAGGTACTGTTGCTGTATGGGAACATTTGTGAGATGTGATTTCCAAGTGCATGGTGTCTTTCAGCTGGGGGGTGGTGCCTGCTTATAATAAGTTGCTGTTTCTCTAGTATGCTTTTGGAGAAGCCTTGTCCTTCACTTGTGATGGTTCTTTGAGAATTTGCTGTGAACTTGCTGCCCTTGTACAGGAAAATACCATCTGGTGATTGCTGCTTTTCCAGGACTAATCGGGGGGCTTTAAGCAATGGTCCGCTCCCAGTGATGCTTTAAGGTAAAAAAAATAAAGAAAAAAAGAAAGCTGCATTAAGTAACCAAGTTATGACAGAGCTTGCATTTGAAAATGTCTGTCTGGTGAAGGAGGGTGTCATTCAGTTTTTTTACAGGGTAAAGCTAAGTTTCAACAAAGTCCACTTTATCATCAGTTTGGGATTTTGTATGGGCAAGACAATCTTTACACATAGACAATTACATGTTTTAATGTCAGCACATGAATTTTCTTTTTCAGTTATACCCATGTACAAGCAGAACAAATATTGGTTTTACTCCAAATTTATATTTAGGAGAAACTAATCTGTGGTAAGTCTTGCTTTTCTGAAAGACCTCTGCAAAGGAATTGTGCTGTGTTCAAAAAGAGATGTTTCCACCTGGAGCATCTGCAAAATCAAACTCTAGAAGAAAAACATTCTGCTTGCTTAGGGAAGAATGTGTTTGTCTGACTTTTTAAAGAGTAGATTCTTATTTTATTCCACAACAAATGATTTTGCAAAATATTCAAAGAGAACATATTAATACTAAAACTGTCAGCAAACATTGATGGTGAAGAAAATCACAACTTTACTGGTCTCATTATTAATCATGATTTGACTTTGCCACATTTTCTGTGTCTTACATCCATTAATAACATTATTCCTCTTTTCAAAATATCTCAGATTTTAAATATTATTTAGTTTTCTTGTAATTAAAGAAAAAAGGTACCTATTCTAGGGCCTTAACAAAAATGGCAAACCACTGATTTTTTGAAACAGATAACTGAGACTGAAATGACTGTAGCTATTTTCCATTAAAGGTGTGACATATATGGCCACCATAAAAGTGTTTTTCCAATACATATTTTAAACACACATTTCATTAGACTAATTATCTACATTTGCTATCAGTGTCTAGTTTATTTTTTCTTGTTAATGTACTGTGGTACTCTAAAAAGAAAAAAACAAACTAGAACCAGTTTAAATAAAGAGTTTGATAAAAAATGTTTTACATTTATATAATTTACATTTACATGTAAATCATTTACATTTAATTAAAATGTTTTATTTAAACATCTTAATTAAATGTAAATAAATTAAAACAGTCAGATCTGCATATAAGCTATCTATAATTGGCAATCATGTTTTATAAATGTTATAAAAATACCTTGATCTTCAGCAATGGGAAAAACAGAAAAATTCCCTGGAGTAGGGTCAACACATAATGTGAGAATATGCATGCATTCCAGAGAATATATTTGCCTTTGCCAGAAATTCAGCATCAGGAGATACAAATTAACCCCTATTTGTACATCAGGAATAATTATCTCTTGGAGAAGGCATACAAAGAAATCCTTTTTAAAGTCTTGGAATAGCAAAATAAAATTTTTCTGTCCCCGAGATTAACAATAATTTTCTTGTCAAATTGAATCAGCTTATTGTAAGGAACAGTGTTGGAACCTGAGAGACATCCTTGTTACTCAGGGATGGTAACAATTATATGAGTGTGGACTTCTGCTTACAAAGGCTGACATTCTGTCTCTCCTGAGCAATTGGGAGTGTTACTCCTCCACCAAAATCTCGGCACTCGTCCTCCCCCGAGCCTGTTAGTGGTTACAGGGAGGAATAGCAAGCTCTTTCCTTCCACACTCTGTGCAAAATGTTATGGACTCCTGGCTCTTTCTAAAAGAAAACCTGCTCTTTCCCTCCCAGATTTGTTCTGGCTTTCCTATTATCACTGGTGTTATCGCTCTATCTGAGGCTACATCTTCAATTGCGTGGGCATAAAGGAAGCTTCCCACAGGCAGTTACATTTGTTTCAGCAGATTTATATGAAAATGGAGTCACATTCATAAAAGTGATATATTAGCGCTAAACTGTTATATTTCAGCAGATTGCTCAAAAGCAATTACATAGGCCAAAATGAGTTTGTAATAAACCCTGAATGCTGTTATTTCCAGGGTACAGTAGTCTTCAGATGAATTTAAACAATGCCAGTTTATTTATCTTATTAACTCCTTTTGGTCATACATTAATATAAACAATTGGTGTGATGGCAATCTATTCTACTGAACCATTCCATGTCATTAAACAAAGGAGATTTCTCATATTTAAAGGTTTACTACTACAATCTTTGTCCTCTATCTTGATATTAATTAGTAGAGCTGACAGTATTAGACAAACTTAATTCAGTTAATTACTTGTTTTTCATTCAAATCATCCTACAGAGAAACTGAAAAGTAGTAAACCTTAAAAGTAGTAAAAAATATTCACAAAGGGTTTATCCTCTCCCATTAACTTACAATAAAGTGTTAAGACAGTCATACTAATCTGTTCAGATCAGTCTGGATAGGGTAAAATGGTGATATTATAAAAGCATCTTCAAAGCACTCAATTTAGAAGACACGAGAATAACTATCTACAGGAGAGAAAACGACAAACTTTCAAACAGCACGTAATTAAGGCAGAAGTTTTCAATGTATAGTTTGCAGAACAGGATCATTTGGAGTTGAAGACAGCTGAAAACAGGTTACAGTACACACAATCTCTGTACATTACTTGTGTAGGAGTAAAAATATTATAATTTCTTCTGGAAGGGAGGAAAGAGGGCATTAAAACCTCATATGTTTTTTAAAAACTTGCCATTCTGACTGCTTCCGTAACTCTGCAAGCTGGTGGAGTCGCTTGAGTGCTTTTTCCTGTTTCTTCTCGTCTTTCCATGACTTTGAAGCCACATTTCGAGCAAATTCCCTTTGTTTTAAATCTTTCAATCTCTGTGTGAAAAGAATATAAACAGAAGGGACTAGAGATGTACACAGCAGATACAGTGCCTCTTATTCCATTTATTCACTTTTCATGAAGTTGGTATGTAAATGGAGAATAAAAGTATACTTAAAATACTGTAATAGTGAAAAGAGATTGAAAATGTTATTTTTGCTTACCAAAACAGCATAATTTGCCCTCTGCTATTTATCAGATAGATGCCTATGTATGAATGACAGCCTTTTTGGTTTCTGATGAATACAAAAATATTCTGTTGTGTACAAATACAACAAGACACAAAACTAGAATCCATTTAGTGAGGTCAACATTTTCCTATTTGATTCATCCTGTTGAAATGCAATCCACAGACATGTACTGGAATAACTCTGAGCTATAAAATATATGTGTAATATATTTTATAGTTCTCTACTTGGACATGCATACATAGATGTGTGGGAGCTGATCTGTTGGTTTTGTACCTTTTCAAGGCTGTATTGTTTTCTCAAAGGAGAGAACCACTGTCTGAAATATTTGATCAGGAAACAGTTTTATATCTATTTTTACAATTTTTAAATCACCTCCCATATCTATAAACCAGGTAATTGCTGTTGGAGAGAGAAAAATTCTTTGCCTTTATTATATTTTTTTATTGCCTGATTTTGCACTAACCATAAGGAAAACGAAGGAGAAGACATAAACTAGGAAGTGTTAACAGCATCCTCTGCAAAAACAGTTGTCTCAGTTCACTGTGCTCTCTAGGAGACAGCAAGTCACATCTGACCTTGCAACTCCCCAGTTCAGATCCATGCTTCTGTACTCCATGGCAGAAATGCCTTCCCCCTTCCCCACTTCTCCAGTGTTTGGAGAAAAAATGTTTGCTAGCAGGGAAGGGGCTCTGGTGTATTCAGCCAGATGCCCAAACTGGAAACTTTGAGAACTAGAACTGAAACTAAACTGCCTCATTTTTTTGCCCCTTGGTCCAGAGGTGCCTGCATTCATCTGTGTAATTTAGAACTACTATATCAACACCATGCAATGCTAAATTTTACATGGAGCTGTTTTTGCAAAGTAGATTTGAAGAAAGGTTTTGATATCTCAGTCATTTTTAAAGTGCTGCTTTTCTTTCAGCATCTAAGCCTACTTGACTGTCCACCAACACCTAAAGATCAACATCCCAATCTCTGCCATCATCTCATGCTGCTGGTTCACTCACTGTAGCAGGGCCAGAAGATCAATATGCATCAGTAGGATAAACTGAAGGCTGACCAAGCATTGTAAAATCAAATACTGCTTTCTGCAGCTCAGGTATGGGGAGAAGTCTAGCCATGGCACAGAGCTGTACAACGGCCAACATGCACCTGCTTCTGAGAAAACAGGGCTGGAGACAAAGAATCCTCAAATGCTGGAAGTCAAGAAAATTATAAGTGTATGAGAGAACTGCTTTCTGGAGAGAGGTCTACCTTTTGCCAATAGATTATGACAAAGCAAATGGGTGAAAACCACCATCTAAAGAGACAGGTTCTTTTTTGTCCAGATAAGATGAAAGAATCCTGTTAGTGGCAAAGATATAACATGACAGAGAGGCATGGAAAAACACTTGGTGGAAACAGGCCATACAAGGTCTGTGATTTCTTTCTGTGAAGAATGCTGGAAAGCTGTAGTGAGCATCTCTCACCACTGTCACATCAGCCGTTCTTCAAGTGTGGGATTTTTTAAAAAGTCAGATAACATCTGTGGGAGAAAAATCAGTTCTGGGAGACTAAGAGCAGAAGTTTTTTGTTTGCTCTCAGCCTTTTGGACCCCAAGATATATGCCTTTCAGCACTGATTTGGAGACAAGGAGAGCTGGGCTGTCCACAAATAATCTGCTCAGGGAGCTTTAGATGGGTCTCTGGCTCTCAGCCATCCTGATAGTTTTGCACAGACACTCTCTCTTGGATGGGGATTAGAATGCCAGGAAGTTTCTCAAGGAACTGGTGCACCACCAACCAGCAAGAAGCATCATATTGCCTAGTGCCTGATGAAAGCTTAACCATTTTATCAGAACTATCTATAGTTTGTCAAAACTGTATGTTTCTCCATAGAGTTTGTATCAGCCCCAACATCCAGTACTTCATGGAACTAGACTCTAAAACAGGACAGCTGTAAAGTCCTCTTTAAAGCTTTTAGGCTTCACCTTTTTGAAAAGAAGTGGTTGCTCCCTATATGTTTAGCTCTTAACTCTGCCTTCATGTGCCTTCTCTCATTATTCATTTGTCCCTTGCTAGGCCAGTCACATAGCACTCCATGCCCTCAACCTCATTGTCTGCAATTTACAGTCAAATGGATGAATATGTAAGACAGTGTTACTTTTGGTTCAAGAAAAAATCTTTTCAAATAATATATTAAAGCCAAAGCTGAAAAAAGAAATCAAAGAATCTTCCTAGAACAAATCCAAATGTTCTGTCACCTAGGTAATATTTACATGAGTGTAGAGATATTTAAGCTGTAAAGATCCTATTCTCCACAGAAAAACATAGGTAGTCTTGAGCCTTATTAACATGTCCAATGTGAAGAAAGGGCAAAGAAACACATTTGAGAAATGCCCTTTAGGGCAGATTGCTATGTTTTAGCTGTCACTGTGAGCTGTTCAGCATCACACATAAAGCATTCATGAGGAAAAACAGAAACAGTTTCTACCTGTCAAGGAAACAAAGAACAGTGTGAAACCGAGAACTATGGAGCACACTACTGCAAAGCAATGCCATTTCATTTCTTTGACAGTTAGGATGATAATCAAAAAAGCAAATGGACCAACACTAAGAATAGGAGTATTTTTTGCTCTCTAATGGCATGCAGCATGTGTCAGAGAAGTAGAGAAAAGAAAAAGTAATGTAGGTAGGCATAGCAGAGAACCCATCAACTGGAGCTGAAATCCAAGACACCAAAAGCTCTACAGTGTGAAGAGAGAAAGGGCTCTCCCTGCACATCCCCTCAGCAAAACAAAACAAAGCTGCACTGCCAGAGCTCTAGTTAGGAGTCATAATGAAATTTGTCAGTTATGTTGGATAGATCATGGGACTGCCTGCTGAACCTGCAAAGCCCTGGTTTTCTTCACTAATAACCTGTGCCAGACTTCTGACAAGCACACAGATATTTTCTGCAGGTGGGGTACAAGAGCAAGTAATTGAGCAGATATCTGAATGACAACTTCAAACTCAGTAGGTGTGTTTGAAAATTAACATTGCTTTACACAGCAGTTGCATTTTTCACATAATTAGGTACCTAACTGGGTGTCCAAATATAGGCATGTATAATAAAATATGATTTATTTAATAGCTTTCTTGTGTTCTGTCCTTCACCTGCTACAAATATAGTTGTCATGCAGTTATATTTCTTTTTTAGACTAATTTTATATTCTAAGTTTTTTGTACACATGTGTGTGGACATTTCCATATCTAAAAGTAAACCATCCCTTTTTTTATAAACACCCACAGAGAGTGTTAGAAGACTGCAAAATAATATTCATTGTCATGGACAGACCTACTCGTAGAACTGTAATTTAGGTCAAATACCTGTAATTTAGCAATTTATTCCTATTTTTAGTGTCTAGGGTGTTGTGTTTTGTTATTTTTTTAAATTTTTACTTTATTTGGGCCAGTACTTTCTTTACACTGACCTATGAGCACCTGAATACTCACTGCTGGCTGCATTTGCAGTACTGAGTTTACTTTCTATCCAGAATTATGATCCTGGTTTCTATTTTCCCTGTGCAGGTAAATGTTTACCTGGATTGCTATTCTTCTGATCAACTTCAGACGCCTTTCTTCATAACCACTGGTAAGAAATAAGCACTTTAGGCACCTAATCACCTGTTTTTAAAGCAGCTGTCTAAAACAAGAGGGATAAAGTAAAATATAAAAGTACTTCCTTCTTTTCATTGTGCACATAGGTTATTAAAGGTGTTTATTCTAATTTCTACAGAGTGTTCCTTTATGAAGGAGACACGGCTGACCTCCCAGCTAAGGTGCTTTTACACCAATGCACACAGCACAGGCAGCAAACCAGAGGAGCTGGTTCCCACTGCTCTGCTAGAAAATTAGGAACAAATTGCCATCACTGCAACATGGTGAGAGGAATGAAGGGTTTAGTTAATAAGCCCATCTGAGAAACTGCCCTCTGGGACAAGGGAGCAGAACCAAGCCAGCAGATCTTTGAGGAAGTTATACCAATCATTTGGTGTAAGAGGAAAGGAGAATGGCATGGCTGAATCATGACCTGCTGGTAAAAATAAGAGGCAAGAACAAAATGGAAAGATAGTGAAAGCAGGGACAGGTGGCCTGGGAAGAGTATAGTGATGCTGCTCAGCTGTGTAAGGACTGGTCAGGAAGGCCAAGGTGCAGCTGGAACTGAACTTGGCAAAGGATGAAAAGAATAATAGGGAGAGCAGGAATGTCAGCTAGAAAATGAAGGTTAAAGAAAGCATACTGACAAATAAAGAAAGCAAACTAGAGTGGTGAACAGGTAACAAATGAGGAGGAATTTGAGCTACTCAACAACTTTTTTGGCTCATTCTTAACTGGCAAGTGTCTCAGTTTGAGGACCATAGGAGTATGGTACTGGGAGACAGTATAACTTCTCCTGAATATTCTGCCAGGGGCTATGTCATTATATAGATTTTACAGGGGTTCTCAGAGTTAACTGCTTCAGATTCTGAGAAGAACTGTTGTTGCAACTGTCCTGAGCTGCAAATCCTCTTCTTCTTCAAGTAGTGTAACTGCATGGATGTGAACAGAAGGTATCTTTGAGAAAAAAGTAATTTTCTATGTATTAAGCTAGAAAATGTGATTTTAGTATAAATTAAATTGGCTTTTTCCCATTAGATTTAAATTTTTTTTTGTTCTGGAATATCATTCACAGTGAACCCTCCCAACTACTTATTATGCATTCCAGACACAGGTAAAAATGTATATATCATATTAGGTATATGTCTTCTCTTATATTTAGAGAGCCTTCTTTGAACTGAAGTCCTT